CAAGGTCATCTTTTGTCTCCCAAACCTTTACACCTGACCGGAAGCAGTTAGGCGTAGATGCCAGCGTGGAAGAAGAAAATTGGACCATGTGATGATGGACTGTGGGAACTTTTAACTGGGTGGGATTCTGATGTAACTTCTAGAGTTGGAATCCCACAGCATGATGCCAACATGCCTGCCTTATTAAATTGGAACCTTAAGCATAGTTATGCCTTCGACTCTGATTTAATTCTACATATTTGGAACGCTGACAGTACTTTTCCTTCCTTCCTTCCTTCCTTCCTTCCTTCCTTCCTTCCTAGCAATGAAGTTTAATTAGTTCAAACTCACCAATTCTATGTTTTTATTCAACTACAAGCAGCCACATTTAAATATTCCTTGATGTTCCATTTATTAGAATTAATTTATATACTATACTAAGTTTTTCACCTGAATAGTTTTATTAAATGAGCAATTACAAACTGGGTGAATGAGAAACTATCATAGTATATGTATATTACTACTTCCTGCTCTGTGAATTTGATACACTGAAAAGGATCCTATACTTCAGTTTAAATATTATTACACGAAGCTGAGCACCAACTATTGTGTGAAGCGTCTCATTTTGTCCTTATTAATGCTCTGAGCTGGCTGTTTAGAACATCATTTCCCATTTTAACATCTCTGGAGTGCAATATGGACTTCAATTTCCAGAATTCCCAGCAACAGTCCTTCCAAAAAGTTGCTGGGATTGGAAAAGATCTGTATAAGGGTTACGCAAGATTTCTCCCTCTAGCTCTATTTATCCTATGTAAGGTAAATGTAAGGATATGATTCAGTGTGATTTTTTTTTCAAAGTTGCATTTTGCACTAAGCACGGCAATACTTTTAGTCATAATAGCCTTCTGTGCCGTATTTCAGTTTCTTTTATAGCTTCGGAAAACAAATATACAGATTTTGACGGGTATATCTTCAAAGTTTACCATGACAACAGGAGGTGGTGAGCAGACGTTTGACAGATTCAAAGCAACGATGCCTAGAAACTACAAACACCAGTATGCCTCGGGCTTCCTCGCTAGGAATACAGTAACGCATCTACTGCAGCTCCTTCAACTCCAACGGCTAGCCCAAAACGTCAGCGCTTAATTTCTCACGTGATGGGGGGGAAAGCGACTTTACTCCGTCACCGGTTAACGTATCAGCCAATGAAACGAGTCCACTTAGCACCGTTTTTTTTATAATTGTGAAAAATGATAAAGTCACCGCCTTGCTATAGCCGCGCCCTATGGTTGTCGATCGTAATTGGCTATCGCTTTGTCCTTTTTAAGTACCTGTCGTTCTCTGACAGGTTAATAGGAAGATCTTGACGAAAACGGGAGGAGAAAGCTCCTCGCCGGCTCCTCCCAATGAAGCGTCAGAGATCGCTCGGGCCTCAAGCCTCAATTAACCGTCTTAGTTTCTTCCCCGCCTCCTTTTCTCACGCGCCGCCCAACGGCTGCCTACGGTCCCGCGCTTTATTTCTCCTCCCATTTCGTTTTTCTCGACCTTCTCGAATGCGTTCTTGAGCCGATTCATTTTCACGCGGAAGCAACTTTTGTCTGTCTCTCCTCTTATTCTCATACCCACGCCTTATTTCCCTCCCCCCCCATCTCTTTCTTGCGCGCCCGCGCTGCTTCAGTCTCGCGCCCGTTCTCTGGCGCCGCATTGGGATGTTGGCGGCCGCCGCCGCAACGGGCAGTAGTTCCTGGTTCGCTCAAGAAGAAGCGGCGGCAGGGAAGTGCTTCCCCCACCAGTGAAAAGGGCGCGGAAGAAGACAGTGATTTCATCTGCTTCCCCCGTCTTCTTTTGCGGAGCGTGCTGAGGGAACGAGGTGGCTTCTGCTCCTCCTTCGCTGCGCGTTAGGCGGAGAAAAAACGAGGAGCCCGGGGACCAACATGGCGGAACACTCAGCCCCCGACCAGAAGCACAAGTCCGGTGCTGCTGTCTCGTCGTCATCTTCAAATTCCCAAGCGCTGGCCAACAGTCGAAGTGGTTCACTGGGGGTTACCGGCGCCTCAGTTGGAGGAAGTGGCCTGTCGGGGGGCCTGTCGCAACCGGCAGGCTGGCAGTCGCTGCTTTCCTTCACGA